ACAAACAGAAAAACCTGTGTTCCTGAAACTGCATGGCAAGGCAAAATAAACAGCAAGAAGCATGAAGAGTCAGACAAGGTGCATGCACAACAGTAAACAGAAGGACCTGTGTTAATGAAACCAGTTTTGGAAGGATCAGCTTGCTCTTTTATTGCTCTTCCTCCAAGGTTCCCAGGCAGGAATTCATCAGAGACTGAAAACTGCAGCAGGGTCTGGGACCAGTTCTGCAAATGCCAAGGTGACCTTCTGGTTCTGAACACTGGGTACAGCTCCAGAGCAGCCCAGATCCTGACAAATGCCAGAATATGGGCAGTTAAAGTCAATGAGATACCACTGTGGGTAGCTTGGTAATTGTTCAAATAACCCACCTTCTCTGGGTTCATGCGCAACCAGCTGCAGCAATGTCCCTGCCATGGCTTGCATTTTTCAATGCAAAAGGCCAGGTTCTGTGGGAAATTCAGCCTGATGGCATGCCAGTACATTGGAACAAGGTTATTCATTCTCCAGGAATTTGCATTATTTCAGCTACCAGATGAACAAAACTGGAATACCTCTATGAAGATTGTTACATGCAGTGTTGTTCAGATTGTCTGATGTGTGCATGGCAACCTGAAATAATGTGCCCCATGCATTAGTATGTCATTCTTGTCTTCACAGTTATGATTGCAATTTAGCTGGTTACTGCTATCACATGACTGAAAAGATACATATTGCCAGATAGTTGGCTCTGCCCTTAAATGGAGATAACTGTAATTTTCATTTAGAAAGAAAATTTTGGTTTTGTTGGTGAATCAGTTCAGCAGAACTGCAACGAAAGCACTCAACCGTCACAGAACATGAACATAACAAAGGGATATTTGTTGCAAAGAAGGGCAATGTACTGACCATTCCATCAAAAGTAAACCTTACATCATCCAGACAAACACAAAGCAGGTTGATTGCAACTGGGTGCAATCCCATTTGTGATTAGACAGAAAAATGTTCTAGAACTCCCAGCATTCTAGCCAGCATTCATGACTGTGGAACTCTGGGTGTTGCAGTACGTTTTTTTCTGTCTAAGCCTGCAGACACCCTTAAGCTGTCTACATAGCAACAGAACTAAATGATTCAAGCAAACATGCCCACCATATCTCAAGCAAGCACACACTCCAGTGATAGCCACAAATGAAATAGCCAGGATTGTTAGCCAAGTTAGCCTGCTGAAACAAAATTACAAACGTTTTGTTGACATTTACAAAGAAAATCATTCTTAAAGCACACAAAGGATGCTGCCTTTTCTGTGATCAAATAGTCTTAGACAAAGGTCTCCAGTTTTGAGCCTGCCATATCGTAGCAACGTGAAATGCATTCGGACACCCACTCTGAAGCATCCTTCTTAGGGATGACAATACCAAGGAAAATTTCCGTATAAAAAGCATAAAGCCAAGGCAGGTTTTCTGAGGACATTGGATACTTGGAATAACTCTGAGATTTGTGAAAGATCTCCCTGTGCAATGGAAGGGTCAAGCCAAGTTTGGTTGACCAAATGGCTTTTCTGACCATCTCTCTCTCCTTCCCTACTTCCTCTCAATTCCAGTGAGATTTAAGATGACTTCAAAATAAAGGAGAGCAGAAATGATGAAAGGGCATTAGGAACTCTCTGGAACAGAAAGAGCAAATAATTCTAATTCCCAAACAAGAGATACCTGTTTTCCACAATCATTTCCAGCTATGATGGCTTAAATAAGCTACAAGGGTTAGCAGTGGATGCTAGGTGCCCATTCTGAGACCCAAGCCCTACTCATAGGCTGCTGTGTTAACTAAACCTGGTAGAAGTGGTTTGTTGGCATGATTAATTATCCTCAAACTACCCCCAAACAACCATTTTTTAAAATTTAAATTACTGGGGCTGAAAATGATTGTGTGAACCCACCTATCCATCTGGAAGAAGAGGAAGAAAGGAGGATGAATGGAATATTAAAATATCTATTTGAAAGACAGATGCAGGCAATAAGAATCATGGCTATTAATGGAACTTGAACAATGTCCTGATCTGCACGATCATGGCCTGTTGCTGGGTTATTTGAGGGTTGTTTCTCATTCCAGCAAGGCTGGGTTATGTCAACATGACAAGCTGTACCAAGGCAGTTATTCAGGCACATGGTGTTCCGAATGTACCAGCAGGTGCTTTGCTTGAAAAAGCTGCCATGGGATTGAGCTGCATGCTATTATCTTTATTGATCAATTGATGGAAGGAACTTTTGATTAAACATATCTAAAATAAAGTTATGAGTACAGATTCACAGAACCTTAGTGGGTTTTGTTTTGGTTTTTTGAGAGGTTTACTGTATTACAGAGAAATGGAACTCTCTTTCAAGTTCATCAATTTGGTTAAAAAATGTTGTTCACCCAAGATTTTCAGACATCAAAGGCTCTTTTCTTGAAGGTTACAGTGCAGTGGATAAAAGTCACCCAGTATATGTGACAAGCTACTCTATCTTATATTATGTTTTCCAAATTCTGGGCTTCAAGTGTTTTTACATTTGTTGACAGAAGCCTATCCCATGGGGGGAAAAACTTTACATTAAAAGCTACAGTGGCATGGATAAAAGTCACACTGTACATGTGACAAGCTACTGTACATGAACAGTTTGATACTAGTAGAGAACCCGCACAAGGGAGAATTTAAATATAGTGGGGTCACCTTGGCATCTATTAATTTTCAAAATGGAAGTTAAAGTAAATAAACAAACTTTATTTCTCCAGGAGTGACCGGAGACAATGATAAAAAGCATTTTCTTTTCTTCACCCCTTCCTGAGCTAGACAGTCAATATATTGGCTTTGGGGGGCAGATATGGTAAATCTGACTAAAGCTGGTGATAATCTAAAATAGCCCATAGATATTAAACAATTCCTTTAGCCTTTCCAAAAACACCATGATTAGAACGGTGTATTAAGACTGGAATTTTCTTCTGTGTACTCAGAGAACTGTTGTGTAAGTACAGTTGCTGGCATCTGAAATGAAATGTGGGCCCCGGACTTTTAATGAAATTCTTTTCTACTTTTTAAACAAAACAATCACACCCTTAAGCTTGTGCAGAAAAATGTTCAAAGATGAGCCTGATGGAATCTCAGAAGCCAGAAAAAAACAGGGATCTTAGGAAGATATCCTGTGCTCTGTTGTGTTTTAGTATATCAGAGGTAGGTGATCCGGTGTCCACAGGCACAACCCATGGTTAGTAGGAAGACTGTTTCCCAGGATGGCTTAGTGTGATGTCCAAACCTGGCAGGAAAATCTTTCATGGGTTGTTGAAAATCGCTAGAGAATTGGCCAGGGAAAAAAGAGAAACCCCCAGGTGCTCTTCATGTTTTCATTAGTTCCCACTATGCTCCCATATCCTTTGCCAGTCTCACGATAGATTTTTTGTTTTGCAAAAATGTTGAAGCAAGGACACCAGAAGTTCATAATTTTTAATGTGTTCCTTTTGCTCCACCATGAAACTTGTGCAAAACTCCCTTCAGTTTTACTTCTCTGTCATGTGATTTATGAAAAGTTCCCTTCCATTCTAATGCTCTTCCATGAATTTTGTGTAATTTTTGCAGTGCCACTCACTTCTCTGTAAACTTCAGGTACACCTAAGAGCTAGCAAGAGAACTGCAGGATAAAGGCACAGAAAAATTTGCGAGGACGAAGCTCTAACAATGTTTTGTTTCAAGCATGAAACTTGCTTCAGTGTAAAATGAATAAAAAGGTGTTATCTAGCAAGAAAAGTCCTGAAGTAGAGGACACAGACAAGGTAAGTAGGGATCACTAACACATGGCTACTGGTTGCAGGAGAGAAGGCACTTGGGGGGCAGCATTACAGCATTGTATCAGCATAACGTGAAACAGCTTAGAAAGTGGTATTCACTAGCAAGGGAAGCACCAAAGTGGGAGACATCAACCAGAAAGGGATACATCTGGTTAAATAGGAAAGAGGAACTCTTGCACTAATTTCCAAGAACTTGAACAGGAACAACAACAACAACAACACTTGTGAATGCTTTCCCACATTCATAAGGACCCTGAAAATTATCACCTTTTTGTGATCTTATGGGTGGGGCAAGTTTTGCAAGGAAGGTGCCAAAGTGGAAGACAAATTTGACAAGGACGTTTGCAAGAGGGCAATCTGACTATGCTGGGCTCAACAGTGGGCAGGCAGTCCTGCAAGAAAATAAATGAAACAAAACAAAAAAGCTCTGGTGCTGTATTCGCAAGTATTACAGAGCAATTGCAGAAAGAGTGCTGATGTAGGAAACAAGGAAATGAGAAGGTCTGCCACAAATCCACTGGGATGTGTGCCAGCAGTGCTTTTGGGTGCTCGGGAGGTATGAGGGAAAAACAATTTATAGCAAATGGTTCAGTGGACATGTTTACTGAGAGTAGCAGATAAGCGACCCACCCACCATGGGTTTTTTCCTCAGAGTGACTTAGCACCATGTACACATCTACCCAGACTCTACAGGTTGTGATCCAGAGTGACAGAGATGGGGGATGGAGAGAGAAAACAAGTTTCCTTTTCTCATCTCAAAACTGTAGGTTTTGTTTGTAGGAGCCCAGATCCACTTCTGCCTTGTACTCCAAGCTTCTGTACAGGTTACTTGCCTTGAGACTAACTAGCCTTCCATAGTGGCCACTCTGTGGTGGTATCTAGGAGAGTTTCTTAAAATACCAAATGTTCCCACAGGCTCCGAAAGGTTGTGCACTCTTGCAGTTTGCCTTCCTTGTGTCTCCACCAGATTCTGCATTCCACTATCCTAAATATCAACAACCTTCCAACTCTCCATTTCTCCAGACCATGTCAACAAACTTTAATTACACTGAAATACTAGAGTCTGGAAAATCTAATGTAAGTTTCCAGTTTCTTGAATTGGGTTCACCTTGGAACAGAATTTCCTTTGCAGCCCTAGCTAAAAGTTCCTAAAATACAGTTTTGACCTTTGGATACAAAAATATAAGAAACAGCATCAGCATCATTACCTGAGAACGGCTATGGTCTCACACCATTGCTTTTGTTCACTCTCCCAAGGATCAACTCTGACCCACTCTGATGTTTCCAGTGCAAGCCGAGCCATTGCTATCCGATGTTCAGCTGCTGCCAATCCTTGCTTTCCATACTTATCATTAACAGGTGAAATTATACCTCCAATCACACGGTACTTTCCTTGGTTGGGGGAGAGAGAGAAAAAACCAGAACCACCCAGTGCTGTATATCTGCTTTGTAATGGTGAGAAATGAAAAACTTAAAAATGTGTAAACAATAAAATCATTGTCCCCTCTCCTCTGTGATTAAACTGTTCAAAGTTCTATTACTGAAGCGTTAACTCCATTAGAAAGTACTAAAAGGAAGAGTGGATAAGCATAAAACCTTTTGCAAATAGAAACATCTTTCATCTATAATGCATAGGATTAGACAGATGGAAGATGAGGTTAATGAATTTTTAGTTCAAGTAACTGTACCAGAACAACTTCAAAATAGCTCAGTTGATGAATGTTTTAATTGACCAGCATCTGATGCATACTAGTAACAAGATTATCATGTGTCATCCTCATAAAGAAGCAGTGACGTTTTTCTGCAAATGTTTTGTGCAACTAATTAATACAGCAAATCAAAACAAATCAGCCCAGACAAGGGAGAGAATGGTTAATGGGTTTTTTAAACCAAGAGTGAAATGTTATGGCAAAACATCTTTAATTGAACTTATCTGCTAACAGTTCTCCATATATATGATTGACCATGTTAAATAAAATACTAAAAGAATCCACTTTTTCAACAGTGTAATGAAATGCCACAAAAATATTAATGTAATAAATTTTTCGAGGCCAGCTCTAAACTCTTCAATTGTGGTAGGGAGAAGTCAATACAACCTTTTCCTAAAAGCAATAATGCTTACCCAGGTTTAAATGGAAAAGTAAGGCTGCAGGAAGACAAGCTGTTCTCCAGTCTCCACATACTATGTGCTGAATGAAAATGTCCAGTTGCATAAATAATCTCAAATCAGTATCAACTCACAACTAATCAAGCTTACAGCAAACACACATGGAACTGCTTTATCCAGATAAGACCACGGGATCCTCTAGTCCTGTATGGTCCACTGACTAGTAGCCTCCAGGATTCTGAGCTGTTATCTCTCACTACCCTACTGCATGTGATGCCTTCAAAGGAAGGAGCTGTGGAATCATCCTGAGCTTATGAATGCAAAACATGAACTCTAGGCATGCAGTCATCAATATCTTCTCTATTAACCTATGTATGTGAATTGCTTTTCTATCTGATGCATTCATATTCTACCTTTCATAATCAAAAGTTAATGGGAAGAAAACTGGGCCCCTACCATTATAGTATTATGACTGAACAAAGAATTGTTTATTGTTTATTTTGTATTGCATTTTTACTCCCAGGGAGATGCACATGCCACATTTGAGTTCCATAAACCCTGACTTAAAGCAGGGGAGGCTGTTTCCTCCTCTAACTCAGGCATCAAAATGCTTTTGAATGTGTTGGCATCTTTTTGTTCATTCCTGGGCCCAAAATGTTTTAAAACCAGAACACCTAGAGAACTTCTTCTCACTCTATGAATCTGCTCATTGTCTCATATCATCTAAGGAGGCCTAGCTGCACATACTACCACCATCTGAAATGTGTTTGATTAGAATGTGTGTTAGGGCCTTTTTGATTGCTGTGCCTCGGTTGGGAGTTCCCTGCATCTAGAGAGCCATTCACCTTACTTCCTCACAACTTTTCATACAACAAAGAAGAGCTTTCTGTTCTGCAGGCTTCTGACTTGCTGGACATTTGATTCCCCTTCACCCTGCCTCACTCTCATTGTGTTGTTTTGCACCAATAAACATGACCTCCCTTTTTACTGTCCCATCTATTGAATGTTTTTAAAAATCTATGCACTGATGAAACCCAGCACTGGGCAACATGCAGGCCATGGGCTACATGCAGCCATATCACCACCAGACTAAAATTTATGGTAGCAAGAAAAATATTTATTTACCACTACAGAGTGATAAGTAGGTCAAATTTAACTTGTTCTAGACCTAATTATCACTCCAAACCAAACCCTGGAATGTTTGATGCTGTCTGCTCATTCCACTGGACACCAGCAGGAGTACAACTGTGGTGGTACTCAGAACCCTACAGTTTCTCACCTATATTAAATGGACTTGGGAGATTTTAACTGAGGACAAAAGCTAAACATAAACTCTTAAAAGAAATATTTAAAACCCTAACGTTACATTTTCTGCTTAGGTTTTCTTCTGGGCATTTTATCTTATTGTCTCTACAGCTAAATGTGACATCTGTCAATCCTGAACCACCAGTAAAAGTACTTTTTTACCCATATCTTTGACTGTTGCCTAGCACCCACCTTAGGCAATTGATCACCTGAAGATTTTGGCTGAATCTAGGCCTACCTTCCATTCTGCCATCTTTGTGGCACTTCCCCCCCCCCCCCCCAACAGCACACATCTCCAGGAATAAAACACTAACTGGAGTCCATTCCAGAGGTGAGGTGCAATCACCAAGAAGACCCTCCTTCTGCTTGTCATCTCCCTCAATTCTTCAGGAGATGGTTCTTTAAGAAGGGCCTCTGACTCATATATTAAGGAATGTGTAGGTACATATGGAATAAATTCAAAGATGATACCAAAGTGTGGGTGGTGGCCACAACTGGGGAGCAGGTACTCCAGATCCAAAAGGATCTGAATAGACTGGAAGTAGGTAGGAGTCAACCAGGTGGCATTCAATATGGATAAGTGCAAGGTCTTGCACTTGGGACTCAGGAGTAGGTGTCACACGTACAGCATGGGGGACAAGTGGCTGAAGAGCAGCACTTGTGAGAGCAGATTAAACATGAGCTGGCAGTGTGACAGAGTAGTTAAGAAGGCAAGTGCCACCTTTGTATAACCAGAACTGTGGCTTCCAGATCAAGAGAGGCATTAGTACCACTTTATAAGATTCTGGTGCACCCACAACTGGAGTACTGTGTCCAATTCTAGGTTTTACACTGTAAGAGAGACATAGCTAGGTTATAATCAGTTCAACAGAAGGTCACAAGGATGGTAGTTAGATTAGGGATGATGATATATAAGATTGAAGGATCTGAGAAGAGGAGAATGAGACAGGGTCTTGTAGCAACATATAGGTATGGGAAGGAGTGTCACACAGTAGACGATTAGGACCTATTTTTCCCTGTGGTGAAGGAAAGGATGTAGTTGGGGCAAAGCTCAAGGAATCAAGGCTTCATGTTAGATTTCAGGAAATACTTCCTGATGGTTAGGACCCTAGGATATGGAATGGACTTCCATGGGAGGTGGTGGGGCCCCATCAATGAGAGTGTTCAAGGAAAGATTGGACAACCACATGTTCAGTGTTACATAAGTGGAGCCAGCTGGAGCTGGGGACAGACTAGACGGCCCAGGAGGCCCCTTCTGAATCACTATGTTTCTGTGTTTCTAACTGCTGGAGTCACATGTGAACAGGCTGTGGGGATACAGACAATCCTATCATACCCAATCTGAGGAGCTGAGGGTGTCTCCCATCTGGTGTCCTGGTTACTCACTTCAGACCATAATGCCCATGAACAAGATACATGGGAAACAATGTGATCAGTTAACATGGATAAACTATGAGCTATCTGTGTGGTCTGCTGTTCATGAATGGAGGTCAGAAAACATGGGGAAAGGCCTTTCATAGAAGGGATGCTCATGATAGGGCTCAAAGCTTGAGCTTCACATGATTTCAGGCTGTAACCAGAATGCTCAAGCTACCATGAAACTTTTCATTTCAGGTACAGGTGTAATTGAGGACCTAATTTGTAAATTCTGCCAGTCTGCAGGAAAAAAAAAAACAATAAAAGACTATTGTCTATGGCAAATCAGCTGCCCTTACATAATAAAGCAAAAATATCCTTATCTGAGACAAATTATTGTTTTGCAATTCAACAAAATTTCAGGACTGGGAAAGGCTTTAGAATATTATCTAGCATATTTTGTAAGCAGGGACAATCATACATAAACAAGCCCTGACATAGGATTTTTCTAATCTATTTTAAGTACGTTCCATTAATGTCCAAAGGAAATTTATGGCCTCACTTCAGATCTACAATTTAATATGAAGTATAACCCTTTCTATTAAAGTGAAAATCTGAAGTGAGGAAATAAAATGGCATCATGTTTATTGCTGACCAATTATTCCAGGATCATTCATACTACAATTAAAGTTAAAATGTAGTTGTTCTACTTCTAGCCCTGTAGCAGAGAAACAGAAATATCCCTGAATGTAATGTTGATTCTGTAGTCATTTAAAATGTAAAGTTAGCTATTCTGAATGTAAACATCTAAGAGGTTGCTGTTGTTTTTCTTCCACACGAAAATCTCCTTCTTAACTTGACTGCAGTAGTATCAATACACAGGAGGGCATCTTTGGTCAGCCCTTATCTCAGCATCTAGGTAGTTCCTACCAAGAGCATGCAGATTCCAGATGAAGGAAGATGGCTCCGTGTAGCAGGGCTGAGGAGGGGGAAGAGAGAATCATTATCAGTCATCCTACTTAGGTCGCTTCACCAGGACCTGATAGTACCTGATAAAGTACCTCTCCCAATATTTCATATTTATCATATTTATAACCTGCTCTTTTCCTGCAAGGAACTCAAGGTGGCTTATACAATCTTCTTTTCCTAGATATTTTTTCCTCTCAATAATCCTGTCAGGTAGGTTAGGCTGAGAGTTAATCTGCCCACCTACTAAGCTAATCCACCTATATACTACAACCAATACCTTAAGGCATCCTCAGCGTGTATCACTGGATGGAAGTTCAGAGAATGGCAACAAGGGAAATGGTCTCATGCAAGGTAGTCTCTGATTGCACAATGACCTCTCTGGTGACATCTGCCTGGCACCAACACCATAATCCTTTCAGTGCCAGGTTGTGACTTTGCTGCACTACCAGGCATTTGATTTGGCTCTTTAACAGTAGGCATATTCAAATCAGATTCTGGTAGTTTTTTTGTTAATTGTTTTTATCTCATGCTGTCTTATATATTACTTTTTTACTGTGAACTGTCCAGAGAGCTGGCTATTAGGCAATACAGAAATGAAATGAAATCAAAATGCAGTCACCAGTCTGCATTCCCAGATGAGACCAAGGCTCATCACTTAGCTCAATTGTGCAAGGGGTTGCTGCGTTACATAACCACATACTGACTCCCACAGCCAGGGAGGCAAATTTGTGCCAATGACTCTGGTCCTGTTTCTGTAACTGAATTTGGGAATGTATCCCCAAGTTAATGGTCATCTCCAGGAAGACCTCCAAAGGATAGGACTGCCATCCTCTCATCTGCAACTGGTACCATTCAGCATTGCTGTTCCCTTTCCATGCATATTAGAACTGGATCATATTCTGTGCACACAACCTATACAAAGATAGGTTGTATAGTATAGGTTCAATACTGAAGGTTCTAGATGCAATTCCTATATGGAAAAGAATATCTCCCATGATCACAGGGTTGACTTAATTGGCCTGTCTAGAAAGATACACCAAGAGTAAGAATCAAACATAATGAGTGTGTGTATTTATATTACGGCTTACAGAACTGTCTAAGTTCCAAAGGTTTGAAGAAGGCACTGTTTCAGGATTAAATTGGATTATTGTAGATTACATTCTAACCTTTTCTCCAGATTACATGGAAATAACTTACTGTGCAGTATTTAATTTTCCCAAGTTTCATTCTTTAATGGAAAATCAAAGTTAAACTCATGCAGCTATTGCTGTGACATGAATGAAATCTGACACTAACCTGGCACCTGGGACAAGGCATTTTCTTTTTTCAGTTGCCTAGCTGTTGGTTTAAATATAATGATCATCTCTGACCCAAAGAGGTGGGGAGAGGAGAGTCATATCAAATATCAGGCACTTTCATGTCTATCTCGGGTATCTGAAAACTTACTATGCATGTTGGTAAGGTTTAAAGGAACATTTCTCATATGGTAGCCATCAGGATTATACCTGGGAAAGCTGGAAAGCAGTACACATTTCCTGCCAAGCAGTAAACAATGGCTACCACTGTTGAGACACTTGCTCTTGGTAGAAGGGACAGTCACCAAGATGCAAACACCACTGAAGAGGTGGGTGATTCTTGCAATGAGCATCATATCATTTGGAGAATACAACTAATGATGACGATCGGGATAGTGCATGCAAACAAAAAGAGCCGCAAAGCCTGGAGTACCAAGTTGAGGACCAGACATCTTGCTATGCAGCAAGCCAAAAGGGGACCCTTAGGATATATACATGTTGATCTAGCTTTCAGTCAATTTCACCAGAAGCTTGCACACCGTTTTCTTGTAAATGTTCAGCACATTGTGATTTACAGAGCAGCAGAACAATTCTTCACCTACTATGTAAGGAACAGGTACTTTCTTCCATGATCTGCTACTGATATAAAAATGGATCCTGTGATCTATTACTGTCAGCATTCCATGTGGGATTTTTCTCCCTTGCAAGAGCTTGTGCCTCAATCAACTCAGACCCAATTCAGCAGTTTAGAAAATGGTCTGATTTTGCTTGGATAAAGTCAAATGTCATCTGCTTTGTCCTAGATAAGAACCGAACCTTAACATCTGAAATTTGAACCTTCCATTGATTATTATGGGGATTAAAAAAATGTTTCCCTTTAGTCCCCTTTAGAGTTAGATAATATTTGCAAGCATAGTAGCCTCTTGCAAGGGGATTACATAAGAAATTGCTAATATCATACACACATAGATATATAGAGAACTTTTTATTTACTGGCAGAATTAAAGGAAATCTGTAGGGATCTTCTGAAAGATTAAGCCTACCAAGTTGCATATGAATAGGTGCAGGGATATATATGCAAGTCTTTTGAGGGCAATCCAAAGAAATAAGACACATTTATGTACCTACGTTTCTTGTGCACTGCTAATTAAAAATTACCAACAATTTAGAGGGGTGTCTACAATTTCACAAGGACAGATGCAGTTGTTTATATATAAGGGGAACTCTTGAATTTGGGGAGGAATGATGCACTTCCACTCCTTTCTCTTTGCATTTCTCCCCATAGAGGTTTTCCCAGGCAAGAAGACTGTAATGTTTCAGAAGGATAGGTGCAGGGATTAGGGAGTTATGAGAACCAAAAAATCCGTTGAAAGCTTAAAAGAAAGTAGTGTAGCCTAGAAGAATGGCCATCTCATGGCCCCAGTTCATGACCTCTGAAGTGCAGTGGCTGAAGACCCTGGTAAAGCATGCTCCTGGATTACAAAGTGTATCTTCCTAACTCCCAGACTGTGCTTAAGGGAAACAAATTGGTAAGCAAGCCTTGTTCTGGCCCAGGTCTGGTTCCAGTGGCTTCAGAAGCACTAGAAAGGTTTCAAGGTCATGCTTATGTTTCAAGTTGTATTCCAACCCAATGCACACCTGTACTATTTGGAGAAGACACCTTAAAACCATTTCCTTATTTTCAGTATTAGAAGACATGAAAGCATTCCTGTGATCTTAGGTGAAACATAGTTGCATTCCTCTGGAAACAAGGAGCAGCTCCACAAAGTGAACAGTATACTCTTATTTTACAATGCCCCAAATCTGAAAATAAGATTGAATTTGTAAACATTCCCCACTTCAAAGAGTGTGAAACAAAAGCAAATCTCCTCAGTGCCTGTGAATAGGGAAGGGGGCAAACTATAAAGTAACGAGTAATCATCCTTCTGGAGTGGTATCATATCATATCGTGGGATTTCTTTAATGAGAACATGTTCAGTTTTGAAACTTGTAATGTTAATGAGGAATTAATTATACTGGTATGTTTGCACAGTTCTGCCTTCCCAAATCAGGAGCTCATGAGTTAAGGAACCTCTTTAAAAATAGAAAAAAATGCTAGCAGATTTGACTCCTATAGCCTAAACTAATGCTTATTACATAAGCAAATTCATTACTGGGGCAAGCTGCCACCTCGATCACTGAACAAGCACAAACCATGACAAACTACAAGAACCCAAGCGATAGGATTCAGTTATTACTGGTGCGCAGGCAATATAGATTTAGGCCTGGGAAGTAAATGTATTTTGAACTTAGTGTTCAGTTCGTTAAGAAACTGGGTGCAATGACTGTCACCTTGTAGACTTGTCTCTGAGATTTCCATCCAAAATCAGGTAATGAAGCAAGGACCACCACACATCTTACGAAGGAAAAAATTAGAAAAGTCCTATACTTTTGAAGTACTAGCCCCAAATATTGTAAATTCTGGTCTGAAGTAGAATTGTATAGCACATGGTTCCTAGCATGGGATAGCACTTATTCAACTGCTACACATGTTCATATGCAAGGTAATCAAAATGGGTAAATATCAAAACCAGTAAAATTGCACACCCATTTTTTGTATTTGTATTAAAGCAGCAGCAAAAACCTTGGGAAAGGTGATGACCTATAAACGGCTTACGTCCATATATGCCCAGTCGCCCCCTGAGATCAGCGGGAGAGGCCCTCCTCCGGGAGCCCTCAGTGAAGGAAATTAGGAGGGTGGTTACTCGGAGGAGGGCTTTCTCAGCGGTGGTGCCTAAGTTATGGAATGCGCTCCCCAGAGAGGTCCGCCTGGCACCGTCGTTATTTGTTTTTCGGCGCCAGGCGAAGACCTTTTTATTTAAGCAGCATTTTAAATGTTAATATCATTGAATTTTATTTGGCCAGGGTGGCTTATTTTATTCCAATGTATATATTTTAATTGTTTTTGTTTTGTTTTATTGTATCTAATTTAAGAGGGAAATGAGTGGCTTGGTGTTGAAATATATGCTTTCCCTGCAGAGGGCATCTTCAAACCCTGGTGCCGTTCAATGTTAGTAAATGGGCAATGGTAGTGACAAGACAAGCCTTGGACCACCAGAAAGAGGTCCAGAGGTACACAGTCCAGGGGCAAGGGCAACCCTAGAAGCATAGGTTGGCTGACTCTGTTCACTGCCACTCTTTTGCTGGGAAGTGCTGGCATCCTCACCTACGTTTGAAGGTTCTTCAAAGAACATGGCCTAGCAACTATCCAGGTCATCAGCTCTTCTGTTCATCTTAGTACAAATTCTTTTTGGATGGCGCACTTCCATGTATCAAGGCACTTCCAGCAAATATTTTATCATGGAATCACCTTGCCTTATTCATAGAATTGTCCAGCAGGTGGGGCCCAGATGTCACTGACAGGATTCAGGCAACAAGCTGCAGGCCACTGTATGTTATTTTGCTCATGATGAGCCAGGCCACTCACAGGTGCTTTGTTTCATACCCAACCCTCACTTGGAGGACTTTATGGCATGTAAGCATGGGTTATGCAGGCATTAACCAGGGTAAAACAACCTGAACAACCCTAAG